CTTGGGACGCTGATTCCAAATCTACCTTTGCTATCTGCTGCGGGCTTTTCGGCGAGGAGTTATGAAGGTTTTTGTGAGTAAAAATCTGAATGCAAAAATAGGGTAAAGTCAGTCGTAACCTTTTCCCAATGTTCAAATGAGGTAGCAGCGAATTGGTACACTTGAATTACGAATATTTGTTGCAACGAGTGACCCTACTACCAATTAAGCCCTATAAAAAGTGTTACGACTGATTTTAGCTTACTCTTGCATTCAGATTTTTACTCACAAAAATTTTCGTAACTCCTCGCTCAGAAGCCCGCAGCAGATAGCGAAGGTAGATTTGGAATCAGCGTCCCAAGCTCTACAAGGCAGTATACATCTCATTTTAAAAAGGCCACTTCGACCAACCTTCCTTTCCTTGTTAGATTGTCTTTGTCTTAAATTACTCCAAGTTATTGCTCAATTTCACCTTCAACTGCTTTCAACTAGTTGCATCCAGGAATGATATCCACGAAAGTCCATTTAAAAATGGGCTTTTCGCGAATGAAACGCGAATAAAATGGGCTTAGTCCCTGCGGTGCGATAAGATATCGCGTTCGCGAATCCATTCATTCCATACAAAAAAGCTTCAGCAAACCTTTCTTCAACTTGCCTCAACCTGTTTACTCACTCTTGCAAACTCATTCCCACCAAGTTGTCGATATCTAGGCTGATCTAACTTTACTATATCAGTCACGTGAATACTTCGTTCTTTTCCATTTCATTACACCTCATAAAATGCCATTTATTGACTATGACTATGCATCTAAATTAGTTTAAGTCCATCTAAAATCCAAGTATTAGGTTGTCAAGAAAATAATGTCGTTTTTTATTTGCTTGCTTTAACAAAGCAACCAGACTCAACCCAACAAAGGGTAATGGATCTTGTTCGATAGAGCAAAGCAAGCTCTACAAGACTGCATTCATAATTTTGCGCCAATCTCGATCCACGGATAGTTCGAACTCAAAATCTGAAGATTTCCAAATGCCCAAAAAATCGAAAAAAATCAGATCTTCGTCCAAATAATTTTCACGGACCTCCCACTCGCACACGTCAATACTTTCGATATCAGACACCCATATGTGCAGCTGCTGTACTTTTTCCTTGACTAGAAACTGAGAAAACGGAAATTTTCGTGTTTTTCTAAAAGCAATGCTGAGCCGTTCTTGCATATGTGATTCTATACTACAAGCTTAGGTAAGTATATCTATAGATTTTCAGCCCATTCCGAGCAGTAGTTTTCGAGAAATAACAAAATCAGCTTTCTTCTTTTCAGTTTTAGTGCTAAAAGCGACATTTCTCGAGAACTACCGCTCGGAATAGGCTGAAAATCTATAGTTATACTTATCTAGGCTAGTAGTATTGAATCACATATGCAAGAACGGCTCAGCATTGCTTTTAGAAAAACATGAAAATTTTCGTTTTCTCAGTTTCTAGTCAAGGAAAAAGTACAGCAGCTGCACATATGGATATCAGATATCGAAAGTATTGACGTGTGCGAGTGGGAGGTCCGTAGAAATTATTTGGACGAAAATCTGATTTTTTTCGATTTTTTGGGCATTTGGAAATCTTCAGATTTTGAGTTCGAACTATCGGTGGATCGAGCTTGGCGCAAAATTATAAGCTCCATCTTGTAGAGCTTGCTTTGCTCTATCGAACAACACCCATCACCCTTTGCTGGATTGAGTCTGGTTGCTTTGTTAAAACAAGCAAATAAAAAACGACATTATTTTCTTGACAACCTAATAATATCAGGGCATTCGCTCTTCAAAACTTCTATGAATCTGCATTGAATCAAATTCGTATGTGGAGTTTCCAGCAGAAAGCAAACTTTGGCTAGACTTGCATTGCAATTTGTGAACCAAAATGCTTATCTCACAGAAAACCTTGTACTACACTACAACACAAAGGCTTTTAAGCTGGAGAAACTTTGGATCTGCAAAAAATTGATGGCTTCTCATGCTGTACTTTAGCAACCCCAAAACTTTCATGCAAATATGGCGTTTGATATATGAAGCTGTTTTTCTTGCATCAACTGTGTGAGTTTGAGGGGTGGATACTAGAATGATGACAAAGTCACTGAATTCAATTTTGCGTTTAGAACTTATCCAGGCATATACTCTGATCCCAAGTCATATGTGCTTTTGATGATCAAAGTTGCTAAGGGGAAGTGCTACGAACAACTGAAGCAAAGCGGACTTATATCCGTCTCAGCATATAGGGAATGCTTAAACCAATGCCTTTTGCTATTGGCAACCTTATTATAGATTTTGAACAGAATTCAATTTCACCGGTTGTTGAAAAGCTCTCGCATAATCCAGTATCAATCAGGTAAACTTTTTTCTCAACCCTAATGTGATGCTCTATATTCGAAAATAAAACAGAGTTCGCTTCGACTTTTGGGTATTGAAAAGTGTTTTCGGTGACAAAATGACGTATCGAGAAGATTTTCTCTATGAAATGACTTGCTTAACTTTGGTAAATCGCGATTTTTTTCAAATTTCCATACGAGAGCAAGAAGTGACTAATGTATAGACTATAGCTAGTAAGAAATTTTTCACAGAATATTCTGACTTGCTAGCGGTACTTCAGTACTTCTTGCTACCAAACTCAAAATCGCGAATTTTGAATTGCCGTCTTTGTGTCTTTCTGTCTGTCTGTCTCAACTGTCTACGAAAAACATTTTTCTATGATTTTCAAAGCATTTCAAGGCTGTTTGAATAAGATAGTTTTTTTTTGGCCCTCCTAAAGAAGATAAAACTTTCTCCGTTCGCTTAGTATCTTGAAATGGGCTAGGGAACATATTCTCAAAAAATCGCAATCAAAAATATCCAAGAATATTAAAAATGGGCTTAGTCCCAGCACATCTGGCTGCTGGGAGTAAAATGGGCTTATCAGAAAGGTGAGAGAGGATGAACATGGACGTGAACTCCATTTTGCCCCATTCTAAAATGGACTTTTGACGTCATCTTCCGCGAGCGATAGCTCAAGTAAGCTTGAATCATTTTCATTTCACCGCTTTGCCTCGCGGTTGCGATGGGATGAAAAATTTTGGATATCGTAAGCGGAAGCCGATTTCGACCACTTTCCAACGCGAACGAATAAAATGGACTAAGTAAGTCCATTTTCCTCCATTATGGACTTTCGTGGATATGAGTCCAGATCTTCCAATCCTGCCAAAAACCATCACAGAACTTATGCTTACCACTGTCAAGTCGCAAAAGAAAACTGGTCTTGTACCGCATAATTTTGCAGTTTGCAATCTTTGTTCCCACTATTGATAAGATCCAAAAAAGGCCTTATTTCTTTTTATTTTCCATCTAGCATCATCAAAAGGAAACTGGCAACAAAAGAAAAGAATGGTGTACTTTGAGGGAACGGAGAGCTCTGAAAGAATATTGGTATCGTTGTTAGGGGTTTTGTTTGTTGGATGTCAATCTTCGTTATGTACTTATCTTATAGAAGTTTGCTTTATGTTGCTGAGCACCTCACGAGCTTTCAAACTAATCTGCAAATTCTTTTTATGTTCAGGGTCTTCAAGTTCGGTGCTAAATTCTTTGTCCACACAATGTACAAGAGTGATTTCCAACAATGTTTCCATAATTTGCTTATCAGATGCGTACAAATCATCAAAGAACATTGAGCATAAAACATTAACAAAGCACAATAATTTGACTGTTTATGGTGATGTAATTAATGAAAAACTTCCATACACGTACTTACATCATAGAAAGCATTCCATTTATACACATCATGATTCTGGGCTTTGTACAATTTCCTGCCTTTGTTTATCACAGTCAAAGATTTAAGTTCTGTTAGATTGTACATAAGGGATGTATTATAAATAGCGTCGATTACTGTAAAAAGAGAATTGATCAGGTCATCGGCCCTAAGCGGCGGCGTTTCTTCGTTCTTTAGAATTTAGCGAGTTTTTCGTATCTTCTTTAGACTCTAAACGTTTTGTCCAGTCATACTTTTTCTTCATTCGTCTACTATTAGTGCAATTTTACGGCTTGCTTCTACTTTTTTAAATTCACTTCTAGTTTTCTACAGCATTTTTCCTGTTTTCTCCGCTAGTCGATAATCAGGAAACCAGACCGGAGGGGTGTCGGGACAGAAGCTCGTGCCAAGCTGGGGTCAGAATGAAGGACCTTGTTACGAGCTGTACAGCTCGTAACAAACTGAAGTGAAAATAACGTGCTTTAGCGCGGAGACGCAGTGATAGTGCAAGACTAGATCTCGACTACGCCACGCTCGTCATAGTTTGCATGGGTCGTAAACGCACACAGCTTCCATCAATTCACGTCAAGACTTGAAAATCAATCACTTGCATTTTGTCTCGGGTTGACGCGGAATTTCCTTGTTTAGTTTCTGCATTGAAGTTTTGCCTTTCTCTTTGCTTTTCATGGTGTTGCCTAATTTGGCTTTCATAGTCTCGAAACGGAGGCTGGAATGGACATGTGTATGCGGCTCTAATTTACTCTTTGTTTTCGGGTAATCTGGGCCGCTTCCACACAAATTTTGCAAGTGGAGTGCCATTTCTTACACTGACTTGTTTTCCAAACCAAATTTGCACTCGCTGCTGTTCCGCATGTGTATTCGTTTACTGTCCTCGCGCAACTGCAGTGCAACATTCGCGTCTGTGCAGACTTTGCGGAAGCATATCAACCATGTTCACGCTGCGCGGTTTCCACACTCCTCTGAGTCTCTTTTTACTTCAGAACCTTTTTTACAGCTATGAATTTCTTATTTTGCAGCAAGTGTGCTGCAAACTTTTTCGATGTATATAAGATGTCTCAAAGTGCTGAACACGAGAAGCGCAGATATGCAGAAAACTTCTTAAGTTTGACCGCATTGGACGTTTTCTCTTCCAGCTGTGATGTCACATGCTGGTATCTTTGCGTTTGGCCGATCCATAGCAGCATGAATTCAATCTTGAGCTGACACATGGGATGAGGCGGTTTCTCGATTGCAGAACATGTGGACTTCCGACGGGTTAAGAACAGCTGTAGGTCTTTCATTATCTACTATTCCTATTATTCATTATTATGTCTTCTACAGGATGTGGCGTTGATTCATCACTTTAAGAAGCTTTCATATGGTGGAGAGGTATGCGTAGCTTGTGTAACTTGAATGCTCCTAGTGCACTAAGTTTCTACAGAACATAATGTGCCTTACCACATGCGAGTCCCTATCGATGAGAAGTATTTCGTCGGTAAATGCTTCTCATTGAAAGGAAAGCGAAAGGAATCAGTTCTGACAGGAGACCGAGTATTACGGGTAAGTTCACTCTGCTCAGGCGCTATGTGCAGAAATTATCAGCTTGATTCAGCCGTGACTACACTTCCAGCGAAGAATACAAAGATGTATTCCACGGAAGCGGATGAGGAAGCAACGATCACAAGGCAATTTATAGGGATTTTCGCGAGCAAAAATGTGTATTATTTGTTTGTATAGGTTTTTCGATTACGTTCTTGAAGTGAAGCCAAATAGTATTGTAATTTACAACGACATCTTCTTTGAGTGGTAAGTGGGGATGCGAATCCGCTATTTTCTTAGCAATTTGGCTGAACATATGGTATTTTAGGCCTTTTGTTGAGGCAAGAGCTCGCATTTTTGGAATAGGCATAGAAGATGAGATTGGTTTTGCAAGAGACTCTGCTGATGATTACAAAAGCAGAAACTGCATACGCATTGATGCCTTCAGGTAGACCTGCTTAGAGAATGACATTTCTAATATGCCACATTTGCGCTTTAGATGGGTAAAGCGAGACTCATATCTTCCAGTCGGCAGTCAGTATCTGAAATCTGTTGCAAAAGCTAATTTGCACTGTGATCCTGTTGAAGTGATCCAGAAGATGTCTGAAATGGCTACAAAAGAACCTCAGGTAAGGTGTATTTACCACACTTTCAACTTTTCTCTTTTTTCCGAACTAATGTTTATACTCTAGAGTCTCGCAAGTTATTCGATTTCTGGTATTGTTGCGACTTACTATCTCTACATGAAGTATGTCCACCCATTCGTTTTGTGTTGTGTACAATCATTCCGCTTGGACCAGATGATGTGAGTTTCAGTTTTGTAGATATTCAACGAAGGTTTTGGGTTTATTTTTTTTGCTTTTTCTGCTCTTACTTTGGTTGTTAATCTCACAATGAGGGTCGCTTCAACTTTTGTACATGATTGTTCAGGAAAAGTGGCGTATCATAGTAACGCAAGCTTCTGCCCTCAATGTCTGCCTGCAATTGAGGCAGAGATGTGCCTTTTGTTTCTGCTTTTTTTCATCTTTTGTAATTTTCTATTCTAGGTTGCGACAACAGCTGTGCGTATGCACTTCTGTTGTATGTTGTCGCTGTTGACCTGCAAGAAGCGCAGATCGTCAGTTCGTACGAACACGTTGTGCTCCTGCCCAACCGTTCTATCAGAGGATCAATTGTATGGCTCGCGATCCTCGCGGCCGAATGGGACCCAAAAGCACTGCTCGTGATCTTCAGACCCTGGAACCAATGCCAGAAATCAATAATCAATTGTGCCCCCGCCCAATTGTAACCTATTTAGGTCATTCAGTAGAGTCCCCCTTTCCCCTTTTTCTTCTACAAAGGAAAGTTTTGCGTTTGTATCTCACGCATTTATTGTATTTGTAATAGGTTCTGCAGAAGTGTTATATGTCAGTTTCAGTGTTTGTCAGTGTTTCAAACAAGATTTATGTGAACTATAATAGGGTTGTTGAACAGCTTTGGATTCTGAATTTAGTCATTCCATGGCAGTCTATATTGCGAAATATATAGCTATTGGGCACACATACTATAACTGCTATTATCTTGAGTCACTCATGATTCAGATCCATTTTGGATATGAGCACGTAATCTGCTGTCTGTGGGAGCACGTGACCGCGATCCACAAAACGGCTTCTAACTATGGAATTCAGAGGGAATTTTCAGAGGGAATTCGTACGGGAACGTACGAGCCTCAGGTCTACACGAACTTCATTACAGCTATCTCACAGATAATTACTATTTCCCTTTTTCTAATGTATGAAGATGTTTTTCATTTAGGCTGTGTTTTCGATCACAGTTTCACATCGCCTTGAAGGCCTTCACTTCACTATTGCAATATACTCTCCTCTCAACTCCGCAGAGAAGGTTAGTAATCATATTTCGCCGTTGCCACTCTCTAAAACCTGATATTTTCCGTTTTTTGTAAATACTGTTCTGATTCAAAATTGTGCAAAAAATGATTATTCTGAACCAGTACACTTGTGTTCCCGTTTTGTTATGGTTTATCAAAAATCATCGAATGCTGCTGTCATTTCCCGATTTTCAAGCTTGCGCACCCTTAGACTGAACATGCTAGCATGTTTAGACCCGAATTATCAATAATCGTGTCAATCCCGTTCCCTTTACAAGAGGTCGTTTTGACAGACTTGTCGGTAAGTCTTACTCGCCATCACATGTATAGGGGCCTGCAGGATCGCGAGAGTCGGACGCGCGTACGGCCTTTGCGCCGCGCACGCCTGATATCGCTGGGTCGTAGTCGATTAAGGCTAGATAGGTAAGTTTTTTTGTTTTTCTTTACATTTCACGCCTTCTTTTCTTTTCAGGCGGTGAGCACATGTTGGTGCGGAGGAGTTTAAGATCTGAATTAAGGTGAGGTGCAGGATTATGCTCAATACGGACTCAATATTGCAGACCTTCCATGCCTGCTGGTTGAGATGTTGGATTTTCTGTCCTGGCTGCCCTGTTATAGCAAACTGTTCTATTTCTACCGTCTATTCTACCTTATCTTGCATATTGCTTGTGATGATGATGATGATGATGACGATGATTATGATTGTGATGACGCGCGTGATGCAAGATGAGGTAGAACAGACGTTGCAAATAAAACGGAGTTTCGCAACCGGGCAGGCAGGACGAAAAATCGAACATAATCGGACAGCCAGAATAGAAAACTCAACATTCTTCAAAGCAGGGGTGAAAAGTCTACAATATTGGCCCGTATTGAGCATAATCCTGCACCTCACCTTAATCTAGATCTTAAACTCCTCTGCACCAACATATGTTCGCCGCCTGAAAAGAAAAGAAGGCGAGAAATGAGAAGAAAAACAAAAAAAATCTCACCTATCCAGCCTAAATCGAGTACGACCCAGTGACATACGACGTGCGCGGCGCAATGGCCGTACGCACGTCCGACTCTCGCGATCCTGCAGGCCCCTATAGCTGTATACTTATTTATATCTTTGCGCAGACATAAAAGGGTTATACTACACCGTTGGGAGTCTAAGGCCCGCATCACCCGAAAAGAAGCTTATCACCAGTATGGACGATAAGAACAAAGGCCGTTCGTATACCGACGTCATTGTCGTCGAGACATTGAAAAGAAAAAATATCTGCTCGAGTTAAACGACTCGAGAAACCCCGTAGCCAACAAAAAAAGAGAAAGGCCTGGAAGGAGGTGCGAGACATCGTTCTGGTATAATGCAAGAAATTGATGACGGTCGAGCAGGTAAAAAGAGTCTGGAGAAATCGCAAAGCACATGTCAGGGATGTCCTACTTAGGGAACGCAGGTATTGAAATAGCTCAATGGTATACGCGTATTAAATGCATGTATTTCCTTAGATACCGGCAGGGAACAGGCGGAGGTCTTGACCTCCCACTGGAGCAGGCCATTGCAAACGCGTCAGCGTCTTTCACTGAAGCTGACATGCTCATAGCCCAGTTTCTAGGCAAGGAGGCAGTAATGTCGGGAGTAGGAAGAATGGAGTCGTTTGTTGATAAGGTAAATTGATCTAAGTTGCAATGTTTATTTCACACATACTGATGTTACAGGGTGCCGACAGCGATTCAGGTTCGACACTGGGGAGGGGGGGGGAATAGACGGAGGAGGAGGGCTGGTGGGCGGGCAAACTTCCACGATTCTGAGGAAGACGGTGGGCGGGAGAGGAGGGAAACACCAGTACGTAATGAATGCACTTCGCTCCAGAAGGTATGATGTATTGTTGTCGCTTATAGCCACATAACCTGTGATTTTTCAGGAAAGGACGCGGTTCGGAGGGGATTCCGATTCCTCGGAATCCACACTGGGAGGGAATAGACGGAGGAGGAGGGCTGGCGGGCGGGCAAACTTGGATGATGTGAAGCAGGACGGTGGGCGGGAGAGGAGGGCCAGCGTTTCGGATTCAATATTCTCGGCGGAAGTGGCTAGCTCCCCACCTCTCATCGACAAAGACGAGCTGAAACGCAATCAACGGAAACGAATACTCAAGCGGCTTCAAGATGTATGCAATCTGCACTTTGCCTGTCAACTCCAACCAGTTTTCTCTATTTTAGTTCGACTCATGCTCCTCCTCTAGTAGCGAGCGCATTAAGAGGCGCCGCACATTTACCAAGGCAGTGAATGAGCTGCAGCTCACTGTCCTCAAGGTAAGTGGCTCGTTCTATTCACTCTCATATAATCTCACTCCTTTTCTTAAAGGCAGTGTCCGGACAAGATGGGGGTTTTGAGATTTCTCTGCCATGTGAGACTGGCCCCCCTGAGACACAACATCGCGCAACTGCGAGCATAAAACGTTCGACCTAAAGCAAGAAAAACAATTGCAAAGTGGGGAAACTTACGCCTCGGGGCGGGGTCCTCCGAGCTGTTTGAATTCCTGCCAGACGGCAGAGTACGTATGCCGCCACAGTTAAAAACCGTGCGCTCTTTGCAACTCTGCGTCTTAGCCTGGCGGGGATCCTCAAATTTCGAAATGTAAGGGCTTGGAAAATGCATGTTCTCGCCGTTTTCGTGCTTTCTGATATGGATTTTCGGATTCAGCGTTGCGAATAACCCCAGATAAGTTGATTTTTTAAAAGTCGAGTTTCTGCCCGGACACTGCCTTTAAGGAACAATAGGCCATGCTCACAAAGAAGTCCATGGCTCTCGACATCTATATCGACGTGCTACGACTGCAACAACACTTCTTCCAGTCGCTCATCAATGGCGGTCAACATTGGCCACAGGAGAACCTCACCCTCCAGCCACAGGAGCAGTCGACACCGCCACAATTTCTGCCCGCCGAGGGTGATGCCAACCTGGCGAGGTCGCAGACCTCCTCCTCACTATTCCATTAAGCATTTGTGAAAGTTTTTTGTCTTTCATTGTTATTGTTATTGTTCAGCCTAGGGTTACACTTATGTGTATGTTTTTGGTTTCATTGCTGTCGCTGTTGTTCAGCATAGGATTATACCTATCATGATCTCGTTGTTTCGTACCTTATTCCTTATGTATGAATTTGTTGATGTTTTTGTTGTTTTTGATTCTCTAATAAAATCTCACAGCAAGCATCCAGTGTAACGCACTGACTGGCCTTAAAAAAACTCATCAATTCCAACATGCGCAGGTTCTGATGAAATTAAAGCCATTTCCACAAACTTCTAACAAGCTGACACGACCTCCGTACCCATCAGGCGTGACAACGTGACTGAATGAGGCTGGCACGGAGCTGACACGGGGCTGGCACGGAGCTGACACGGCGTGCATACCTATGAGGTGTGAAGACGGGAACCAATGGGACTGGCACGGGGCTGGCGGTCTCCAATCGTGATTGAATTGATTACAGTTACATTAATGTTAACTACTGATGTTATGCACAATATATTTTGATGTTTTAATAAACACACCAAAAACATGGGCTTGACAAACTCAAACAATTGTAATGCACAATACAAAACATGGGTTACGCAAAATAATTACATACAACTGACTAGATAAGCACGAATGTCAGCGCAACCTTCTGGCGGATGGTCGCATATAGCTAGTCTGCGCCCAAGTCTCCTCGGGCGCAGACTAGCTATATGGCGGATAGATCGCATGGCGATCATCACATTATGAAGGACTGCGCATGCGATGATAATCTTAGCTGCGCGTCTTGGGGTCACGCGGATCCTATCCTCCAAGATTGCGAACTTCCGCTTCCATATGCCGAATGTGCACCCGACGATGACACGCATCTTCGAGTGCCATCGGTTGTAGGAGACTTCTTGCCTAGTAGCCGGATTTCTAATGGGTGTAATGACGTCATTCCCATTAGCGAATCCGGAGTCTCCGATGAAGCTGTAGCCATGCGGGACTGCGCCTTCTTCGTAGGCATACTTCACCTGCGAAGCGGAATAAACGCTGGCATCATGTACAGACCCCGGAAAGTTCGCATTTATGTAGACAAACCGTCCGTGGGCATCTACAGCAGCCAGCACATTCAGGGCTGTGAAGCCCTTGCGGCAGTAATACTGCCAGTCGGAATGTGCAGGCTTCTGTGTTCGCACGCAGCTGTCGTCGATGGCGCCGATGATGTTCGGAAACGCTCCTGTCCGGGCGAAGGCGGCGGCGCTCGATCGACAGTACTCCTCGTCCCCTAATCGGCAGCGGATGAAGTGCCGCACAATTAGGGGGTTGTTCAGGGCGTGTACGACGTCTCGCACCGCGTTGGAGAACTTCCTGGTGCGCATCCGTTAGATATCGCAGGGCGATCACTACCTGAAAAAAATAGATTACAGTTTGAATAAATGAGCCTAAGCACAATGTTCTGCGCCACAAAGAGAGGGCAAAGTGTTTTAACTTCCCTGCAAACGATTGCACTGGGCCGGAATTGAACCTTCTACGATCCCTTTGTTAGCCCCGCACACAGGCACTGCGCCACTCAAGGCACAGACATAGGATGCTTCGGGAGTTATATTCGCTTTCGAAGCACTTCCGCAAAACGCACATGGTTTTTGAGGATTAAAGCATATTAACGATAGTAAGTGTGTTATAATCGCACCTTGTTCTCCAAATCGACGGACCAGTTTGGAGTTTGGCGGTCTCCCGTAAGCGGTGCGATCAGTCGGCAGATCTTCTTGATGTGCTTCTCCTCCATCCGGAACTTCCACGCTAACAGTCGCTGATTTTGATGAAACAGCCGGAGAGGATGAAGCCGCCTGTACTGAACGTTCGCGCTCCTTCTCGTCGTGCTATGCGGAAATGCAAGCATATCCCTGAAACATAGCATAGAAACTTTTTTTAAGCAGGCATTACATTCGACAAAAACACTTGCAATCAAAATAACAACACGCGCGCAAACCGACATCAATTCTCCATGCGTTTTTCATCGATTGGTATAACTCTTCATGCGAGAACTGCACAGTTGTGCATTCCTGTCTTCCAAGCGCCATGCTCCAACTAAGCAGCATCTATGGCGCAATGGCTGTGCTCGCTGCTCATGATCAGCGCTCAGAGCACGATCGGCGGCGAGTGGCAGCGCTAGTTTTGCAGCGACGAGGCCACGGTCGCGAGGTCGTGACCAGCACGTACTTCAGTCGGACATGTCACGACCTCGCTTTCTTTACGTTGCGACAAATTTGAGGGGATTACTACGAGCCCTGAAGACGCGGAGGTAGAAAAAAGAGGCAGGAGGGTGATCATAGCAGAAATTCAAGAAAGTAAGAGAAAGCGAGGTTGGGAAACCTATACTGAAGCGAAAAAGGGAACCTGTGGCTAACGTAGAGGTGGAAATAAGGGAATTTCCCTGAAAATGGTTCGTCTATAGAGGCGGATTTCGTCGCACGTCGGAGCTGCCTCAGCTGTCCCGTCTTTCAATGATTGCAACCTTCAACAAAAAGTTTCGTTTTCGATCAAAGCAGGTGCAGCTATAGGTCTGGTTTTCCCTCGCATGACATCGCGCATGATGTTAGAAGACTTCTTCCACTGGGCCCGTCTAGTCATAACCTGCTAGCTTTTGACGTTGCTTCCAGTAGCCTAAGAACAGTTTTCTTCCATATCGTGAATTCCACAAAGCATCTTTTTGTGATATCTCAGAGGATTATGAAAAGTGTCGATGACCTTTATCACCGCTTTTGTAAAAAACTTTATCAAATCTGCATGGCGAAAGTTTGCTTTTCCTTAATCTTGGAATTGTTTTAAACACCTTTTCTGTACTTTCTGAGCTTGACCAAGATTGATATGATGACTTCATCGGCTGACTTCGACGTTTCGACGAGCTACGTCTGTTTCGGAGCCTGGAATGACGAAGTCATCATAAGTGTCTATCCATTCAGACGTCAAGCAAACCCGAAATCTGTATTGCAAAAGTTCGGCTTTCCTTGAAAGATTAGTCAAAGACACAGAGCCACAAGACCACATATACTTTAGACGCAGCACATCAGGCAGCTGGAGAACAGAACCTGGTGCTAAACTGTGTCTCCAGCTTCTATTCATACGCCTGAGCGACCCGACGTCAATCAAAACCACAGAAGGTCTGATAAGGTGCGTGTTCGTTGGTGGTCGCAATGCACTCGTCTTTTCTGTTCATTTCAGGTCGCAGCAATCCAAAATGCTTCCAATGTTTTGCGGTTAGGCGTTCGGGTTCAAGCAATAAGATCTTCACTGCAACCTGAACTTCAGCATTTCCATGACTAATTATTCGATGTTGCTCTAGTGGTATGGAGAGCGTTGACTTATTTAGCTCATCTAGAAGTTCTTTAATCCGAACGCAAAGAGGGCGCTCGATCTCTCCGAAGTAGGTGTCTCCACATGATAAAGTGGTAAGATAAACCACAGGTTCGTTGTTGTTTGTTTGGTTTGATTTCCTGGCACTTGACATGGGAATGGATAGACATCAGTAACGCTCCCCTCCCCCCCCCCCCCCCTCCCCGAGAGAGGATCGGGAAATTTTTGAAAGTTCTTATATGAGTTATAAAAATGTGAAGCGACTTGTTTATCCTTTGAATAATTGATATAACTTTTGAAAATTATTGAAAAGTCAATTTAGGCCCTATAAAAAAATTTTTCGGGCGTGGATGCCGCCATGTCCCCGTGGATGTCCGTGGATGCCTTACATACCCCCTTCTTCTGAAATTTCGGGGTCATGGACCGCAAAAACTTCAGGAAGCATACCAAATTTTCCGGAGTGCGTGTCCGACGGCACGACCCCTCATGAGAATATTGTCCTTCCCTCCCCCCCCCCCCCTCCCCCCTCCCTCCCGTCCCCACGAACGGAAATTCTGGGAACGCCACTGACAGACACTTATGATGACTTCGTCTTTCCATTCTTCGAAGAAGGCGTAGATCTTCAAAACGTCGACGTCAGCCAAAAAACTTATCAATTTCTTCAGCCTTACATACCAAAAAACTTATGATGTTCTCAAAGAAAATTCTTTTTTGATATCATTAATTCGACTGCCTTCTCACTGCCCTAATATGAGCATAGATCTTGCAAAAGTTTATGAAGTCTTGTAAAAGCTGAAGACTACAACAACGTACTTGGTATTAGTAATATTAGCAAGGGTGTCCGTGCTTTCGCTTTTGCCTTGTGTGCCGTGTGTCTTCATTCCTGTGAAGGTGCACCGATGGAACGAGACTTTAGTAATGGCTGTCAGCGAAAACAATGACACTCATATTTTATGCCTATTAGTGTTATGTCACTTTCGGGTAAAATACTACAAAAAGGATCAAAAATGTGCTTTCGACTGGTTAAACAAAAACAAAACCTTTTTCTTGCTTTTCATGGGATTTTTGCTTCTGGGATTAATAACTGCACTATTGACTGATTTTGTTTTTGACTGGATTAGCGCTGTAAACCATGGCAAGTTAGTGTACGTAGTCTTTTTTGATCTATCAAAAGCTTTCAATAAAGCTGATTATACAAAAATACTTTTATTACTCTTAGATATGAGAAACGCGACCAACTGCTCTCTTGTTTCAATTTCTTATCTTAGAGATCGAGGCATGACTGTCCGCGCTTAGTTTTCGCAGAGATACTCTAGTGGAGCGCCTCAAGGGGGCATAGTTTCACCTCTACTCTTTCACGCTTACATACATCGCTTTTTAGAGCTTTGAGCGGTGATTCCAATCCTGATGGCAGATGACAAAACATGTTCAAAATCTTCAAAAAGACATAGTCTTACTCGAAAAGGCCACTTCGACAAAAAAGTTTGTTTTAGGTACCCCTTGTTCAACTTCGTGCTGAGCTTGCTTCTCAGATTATCCCACAGTCTCAGAAGAAAAGATCTTCTATAATATAGTTCTCTCTGCTGAAGCATTACCGTTTACCCGAGGGATTGAACCTGACTTAAAAAGAAAATGAAAAGGCTCGGTTGCT